GCTTCCCACTGTCACCCGAACCCTGCAGACTCTGCCGGCCTTTTTATTGATTGTGCATGCAAATTACAAGTAATACATCAGAAAAACGCTCCCATCTTCATTTAAATACCACATTGGGTCGCCCCTCAGTGGACCCCCAAAGACAAAGCATTCCCTGGGTACCAGCACCAACATCCATAAACTAACAGAAACGTAGACATTTTAATGAGCAGTGTTTCCATGAACTGATGCGACTGTAACCTGGCTCGTGACCCTTTCTCATGATGGAGCGTACGACTACTACAGAGACCTTCCGTCCAAAGTTAAATCTTCCTTTCCAAGTTGTCAGATAACAGGCGCCAGTGTGTCTACTAATGAGGGTTAAATCTTTGTCTCTGAAATGTGGTCAGGTACCATGCGCTCGTGGGTCCCTTGACCTCAAATTGACCCCTGATTCTCTGTGCTTCCATTGTGTGCAAGATGTTCTGAACACAAGCATTTCGAGGTCAACAAAATGAAACTTTAAAACATGACAACATTGTATTTGTCTATTCTAACAGTCACATAGTCAGGCAATTGTATCACATTTTACTCTTATTTGCTATTCAGCTCCGAAAATTACTGGAACACATACTGACAACATTTAAAGAGTGACTCGAAGTGATATTTGTTGTGGCTGAATTTGCTTTCATTAGTGTTATTTTCAGTGATATTGTTCAACATCCTACGACCGCACATTTCTATTTGATATTTCGATTTGACTTCTTAGATAAAAACTAAATACATTTAGACATAAATCACAAATGTAAATGACCAGTTCCGCTGTACTTGATTAATTCTTTTTCCTTCGAATACTTGCACGTTTTTTTTTGAAAGACCGACTTTTACTTTTACTTGATTCGCATTGATGAAAAAAAAATTTTAAAGACCGATTTTTACCTGATTAGCATTCATGAGAACAATTGATGTCTGCTCTCAAGCCAAATGCGATTTTATTTTTTTCAAAACGGAAGTCTCCCTCTTAGTGTGAAGGTCTGACCTGACTACAGACTACGACAGACAACTTGGTTTAGCGTAGAAGGAATGATTTCATCCAGGCGCGTTTCGCGTCTTGGGAAGACTGTTGTTGGAATTTCTCAAATGTCGTCACAAGTGCAGTTGTGAGAGACGGAGAAGGGTGAATCGGTCGCTAAACTACCTGCGTGATTAAAATCCAGAGGTAAATGTGTCTTATTTTATGTCAAACCTCACTACTGGAGGACAGTTAGCCGACCTAGCTCGTGATCATTAGCCGTAATTTAGATCAACTGGATAGATGACCGACAAGCGAACCAAGTCCTATCTAGTTTAAACCGATCTCGTCTCTTGATATCATTGAGGTAATGAGACTGTGCTTTGAGGTAAGGTTATGTCTCGAGCTATTCGCGATTTTAATTTAACCTGCGAAGTCTACAAGCAGTAGAACAGGAGCACCCGGTTAGTGCTAGCCACGTAATAATAATGCCTGCTGCATATTGCTTTAAACATTTCATAACGTGTTCATTGTGACAGCAATATACTTCCGATAGAGTTGTTGGCTCGAACAGTGATTCAAGAATAGTATCAACTGAGGCACAATGTTGCGTGCCTCAGTTGAGGCACAATGTTGCGTGCCTAATTTCACTTGTACCCTTTCCCCTGGTCTGCTGTAGTCATGTTACATGTTTATGGTATGTAATGTTCTTTTTTGTACTCGTTTTTTTTTAAAGATGTACTTCTCTCCCAGTACATTTATGTTGACCACAAAGTTGACTCGAGATCTTCATTCGGAATCATTTCAGTTGCAATGACAAAAAACCCTGAACTATGACCTCAATTTTTCCTGGATGGACACCACGTCGAAAGAAAAGTCATTCTGCCAGAAAATTGTTTTTATGGAAAGAAAAAAAAGTCAAGAATACTCCTTCCAAAAGATTTGTTGTGTACATCATACAAACCGGTGGGAGGGCGACCTGTATAGAGGCGGCAACGTGCATGAAAATAACTACCGTGCAACTCCCATACACTTGTTAAAGCACACTCAAAGTACGGCACGCGAGAGGGACACTGCCTGAAACCATAGCGGCAGTACGTCAGACATACTTTTCAAATGAATGACAAAAAATGCGCGCGCCTTACCGTTACTTGGTTTTGTTCCAGACCATGTCTGCAATCAAGCTTGCACTCCAGCAGAACCAGAAGAGGGACAGGAGAAAAACCTCAGAAGCCAAATCTGCCGAAGTGTCTCCGGACTCCAAGTGTCCCATTTGCTTGGACGTCTTTAACAACATTGCCTACCTGGACATCTGCCTGCACAAGTTCTGTTTTCGCTGCATCCACGAGTGGTCCAAGAACAAAGCCGAATGCCCATTATGCAAGCAGCCGTTTAATTCCATTTATCACAGTATAAAATCGGAGCAAGACTTTAAACAGTATGACCTGAAGCCAGTGACGAATGGATCTTTCGGGATGTTTGGCGGTGTGCGATTTAGGTACCGTACAACGCTTACCGGGGTGCAGCGTCAGCGCTGGGGAAGGACTTCTCCCCCGCCGGACAATGGCGTCCTCTTTGAATCAACAGCCAATCCTCCCCAACAGCAGCAGACGCGTTACATCCGGCATGTGATGATGAGGATGGCGGCCAAGAGGAGAGCGGCCAGCGAAGGCCGCACGTTGCACAACATCAGAGAGCTGGAAATGGTGAACTTCCGGCGAGAACTTTACCGACAGGGCTTGAGAGTACGCACCGTGCGCGACGGCGGACGATCCCGGGACACCTCGGCCGAGTTCTATCGCAAAAATCCCGCCTGCTTGCACAGACTGATCCCTTGGCTAAAAAGAGAGCTTGTGGTGCTGTACGGCGCGCACGGCTCCCTGGTTAACATCGTCCAACACATCATCATGTCGCGCATTACCTGCGTGGACATGGAGGACAGAGCCATCCAAGAAGAGCTCTGGCCATTTCTGCAGGGCCGCACCGAGCATTTTCTGCACGAGTTCATCAGCTTTGCAAAGTCACCGTTCAACATGGATGCGTACGACCAACACGCCACGTACGAGGGCTCGGCCCACTCCTCCAATTCGGACATCAGTTCCAACTCATCCGTCATCGCCATTTCCGAGGATGAGGATGTGGACTTGGAGCCCCCCAGGACCCCCGGTTACGCCACGTCAAATCTGAGCCGCTCCCTTTGGGATGACGAGACGCCCGGGCCGTCGTATTCCACCACGACAGAGCAAAGTCGGACGGGAATGGAGTCGGTTCATGACTCCGACTCTGACAGCAGCTTCGAGGAGGAAGCGCAAGACACACCCATTTCCCCACCGCAGCAAGGAAATACAGCGCACATTCAAGTTGACGAGTGTTTGTCTTCGGAGAGTGATGACTGTGTCATCGTGGGCTTTATTAAGCCGAGGACCGAAAGAACTCCCGAGCTGGTGCAGCTCTCCTCCGACGAATACTGGAGCGACGATGCGAAAGAAGCGCCGCCGCCACTGTACGTTGGCTTCAACAGCAACAGTCCCTCAGCCTCGCCGAGGAGTGAGCCCACCGACGCGGACCACCGTCATCATCTTGATACCAAAGAAAGACTCGGTACGCTTAAGTCCAAAGTATGCATGGCGTCGAGGGAGTCCGAGAGAAAAGACAGAGGCGGTTCTGAGCAATCCAGCCGGAAACGCGAGCCAAAGGACAGAAAGCACAAGAGGAAAAGGTCGAGTGCCGAGCGTCGGCGCCGCAGCCGCAGCCCAGTTAACTATCACATCAGAGAGAGAGACTATTCCTGTTCCGACCGCAGGGACGGGAAATCCGACAGTAAATACAAAAGGAAAGAGAGCGACTTCAACCGTCAAGCGAGCCGAAAGCATTCCGACCGACGCTATCGCTCCAGGAGTCGTAGCAGGGAATCGAGGCGGCGAGATAGGCGGATGTCCAGGTCCAGGTCCGGGACTTGCTCAACCTCACCGTCGACGAGACGATCTCGCCACGAGAAGCCCGGCGGCAAGAGAAAATACAAAACCCGCCATCTTGAGAACCGCTCGTCCCCACGAGACGTCACCCCCGAAACTGAAGCAAAAACCACCGACGGAAAAGATGAGAGGAGCCCGAGTGTCCGCGGCAAACGTCACAAGAAGAAGAAGAAGAAGAAACACAAGAAGAAGAGCAGACGGCACAGGAGCGCAGAGAGACTCTCGCCGACGCCGATCACCATCGAGAGCAACAGCGATCACGCCGACGGTACCTGCGGCGGAACCTCCAGCAAGGAGCCGTCCCCCTTCAACGCCGCTGCAGATGAGCTCAATGACTCCCTCTGTGGCTTCGTCTTATAGCTACAACTAGCCCCTCATGCCCCTACCTGAAGTATTTTTAATCGTATCTTTACCTCCTCATCATGAACTACATTATTCACCCTGAAACCGAGACTATTCCAGGGGGTGAAGAGAGTTCTTTTGCTCCAGTGGCTACTAGCTGCCGATGATCTCTTTTACAGCTACCGTAATTCAGACTTTCTCATGATGACATTAAATGTGGACATGAAAAAAAAATCTCTTCTAGGCTCTAAACACCGTGTAAAACGTAAATAAGAAAATGTTAGGCCGGCAGTAACTGGCCTTTTGTAAACTGGGGACTCCCTGTATTTGCAAGTGCCACTATGAATGCTTGGGGGGGCGAGGGGGGGATATTGTTCTTGAACATCCTTTTTAAAATGTTTAATTTCTAGAGCGTTCTCAGGGGTTGGTTTCTTTTTTTCTTTTTTTTGGTAATGACAAACTTCATGATCTCTTTCTATTGCTAATGGATCAGCAAGAGTACTTCTATTAAAGGTATTTTCTGCATTTTAATGTTTGAAATGACTCCTCCAGGGAGACTTCATTTTGCCCAGCGTCCACATCCAAAACAGGCACACAGGGCTTCCTGTTTCGCTTCCTCTTTAAAAAAGATATTTCCATCCAGGTAAGACAATTGAGAACAGATTATTTGCAGTGCCGATCTGGCGGCAGGCAGTGAAAATAGAAGCAAACTCAAATACTGTACATATAAAAAGTGTATGATCTAGTTTCACTGGTACATCATTTATATTAGGACATGTTGAAATTAAAGTGCAACAAACGGCAGCGTGTATCCCTCAACTTTTTAAACATTGGCAAAATTGAAGTGAGCTTGATGATTTGTTGTGGTGTTCCGGTGTGGGCTGGGAAATTGAACACATGACTGACCAAAAGAAGTGCAAAATCTGAAAACGAAAACTTCAAAATTGCTGGAACGGAGCAGAGAGCAAAAGGAGGTTTTGGAAATGAATTTTAAAGATAAACATGGATCAGTGAGTTTGGCTGTTTGTGAAAAGAGCCAATTAACCAGGTAGTACAGTCAACAGCTCCTGTGTTTGTGCGGAGACTCAAAATTTCCTGCTTGCGCTTTGGAAAATGGATGGATGGGCAAAGAGTAACACTGGTTGCAAGTGTCATTACGGAACATCCGGATTGGGTCCCGCTGCGCTTTTATTTTGAAGGGTGCGCGTAACCAGGAAGAGAAATGTCTGGTCTTTTCCCATCCACGCGAAGTATTGCAGAAGCTGCAACTTGCTCGCCTCGCAATTTGCCCTCATATCCTCAATAATAACCAGTTACGTCATGTCTTCCTCGGCACCCATTAAGGTAAAAACATACAAAAGTTTTGTAATTTCTCCACGCGTGAGTAGCCTCCGGGTGCCGAACCGTGCTAACTGAGCAGTAGGCAGCATAGCTAAATGTGAGGCTTGACGTAACATTGTCAGCTGGGACAAGCTCACGTGTTATAATGTCATTTACCCAAAGTCCTGCTTTTTATTATTAATTGTAGGGGCAATATCACCAGTCATTGTTAGCACTCACACAAGGACGCTTCTGCTTCGGCACGACTGTCACGTTAGCTTTTCAAAGTAAAAGTACTCCAAGTGTGGGCTACTAAGCATTAGAACTGAGTATGCCTGACAAACTAATATAACTGTAATATTCTGTCCTTTTTTTGCCATCATTTTTAACCACGTAGATTGGAATAATTGGCGGTTCGGGTCTGGACGATCCTGATATACTGGAGGGAAGAACCGAACGTTATGTTGACACGCCGTATGGAAAGGTTCGTTGTGTGCTCGACATTCTAATTTCACTTGTACCGCTAAACTTATATTTTTCCATTTTTCCCTTCATTTACTCGATCACTGTTGTTTTGTTGGCAGCCTTCAGATGCCTTGATATTGGGAAAAATAAAAAACGTCGAATGTGTCCTCCTGGCAAGGTGAGAACCATCTGTTTAATACAACAGGATCTACTGTATTTAATTTTCCTAATAGTATTTATCTAGTCAACCGTTCGTCTAGTACAGTATAGCGGAATTAAAACGTAACAATACCATCTAGTGGCATCCACTGGAACTTTCAGCCCTACCCATCCCCTCATTTACTACTGCAGTAATTCAGGGTTCCTCAGTCTTTTTATATCAAGTAACACTGGAAAAAAATACTTGGCTCCCCAAGGACCACCATCTCGACCAGTGTTGGAGTACAGCAGCGTAGTAGCCCCAAATGTCCACCGAGGCAAAAAAATTAATAAAAAAATGGCGTGTTTTATTCCCAAAGGACAAGTATATTTAATGTTGTTTAAAGTCACTTTTACATTTGAAAAATTTGAAAATTGCTTCTGTGCTTGAATGCAGAGAGGGGAAAAAACAAACTGTACTTAAATGATTCAAATAAAATGTACCCTGCATAAGAGTTTTTTTTTCCAACTTAAAGAAAAGTTTAAAAACAAGCAGTTTTTAAAGATGAAATGCAAAGGTAAAAGTGAAAATACAAAGGAACTGTAAAGTGGCACTGATGCTTCTAGAAAAAGTCAATGGCAATGCAAACAGGCATTGGAACAGTTTTTTTCATTACATCAAGTTAAAAAAAAAAGGCCCTATTCCATCCTGAATGCTTCTCGGTCTCTTCAGGCATGGAAGACAGCACACCATCATGCCATCTAACGTCAACTACCAGGCCAATATCTGGGCACTGAGGGAGGAGGGCTGCACACATCTGCTGGTCACCACAGCTTGCGGATCGCTGCGAGAGGAGATCCAGCCCGGTGACATCGTCATCATAGATCAATTCATCGACAGGTAAGCTGATGATGAGCAGGTCAAAATTCAAAATGTGAAATGAATACTTCAAGATGTAATGGGCTCCCTCAAGTTTGCTTGAAGATTTCCATAATTGTAACTATACTGGTAAGTGAATGTTAATCTTTCAAAAACACTTTTTAAAGGGCGATTCAAGTCAAAAAATAATAAATTGAGCACTGTGAGTGGTTGCAGTTATTGCACAGGAGGTCAGTCATAATTCAAATGTGTTCCCACACATCTTGGTGACATAATTGATGTCAAAGTCTCCAAGTGGTGCAGGAAGGAACTTGTCATGCTTGATACATTTTTATTCCTTCAAAGCAATTACTTGTTTACAATGCACTTGACATCCGGAATTGGCGTCACAAGTGCCTGATGTTTTTCAAAGTCAACAGTGAACATTAAAAAAAAAAAAAAGTGGCATTCCACCTCAGGTGAGGTGACAAATGCCCGGAAGTTTACTACGGAACTATTTCTTTAAACGTTTTGTGAATGTTTCTCCCTGCTCGTCTCACGTTTCTCAAATAACCAAGACTAGGCAGCGCATTGAACTTCTTTGACTTTGACGTGACACAGACTATTTTTTTCCAGATTTTTTTTGCAGGTTCGATTATTTATTTATTTTTTTTAATTTAACAACAAGTGTTGTTAAATTACACAACCATGCAAAACCCTTCACATTTTACACCCCAGTCATGGGGAGGGGGCATCCACCTGCTTTTTGCGAAGATGTCATCATCTCTAAGTATGCTTATTTTCTGTGGCTCCGCCCACCAGATTTGAACACTTCTGTCATGCAGTTTTGGTTTCGGTCTTTTTTTTTTTTTTTTTTTTTTGCATTTGTCACGCATTCTTCCATAAATACGGTTCCCATGGATGTTTGAAATTCTTGAACCTTGTCGTCCTCATTCACCAGGAACAAAACAAACTTCATGGTTCAAGTGTGTGCAATTACCGGTAGTTGTTGCGTTTGAAATGACTAAGAAGTAGTCGATAGTCTGGAGCCCAGCATAACTTTTTTTTTTTTCTCTCTAACTTGAATTTTTAGGAGAGCACATTGTAAATCGACATGCAGAGTGAATATTCACATTTCCATTTATTTTCACTATTATTGGTAAATGGGCAGAAGTTGAGAGCAGAGCATTTTCAGCAATAAAAAATATTTAAAAAAAAATCAAACGTACTGATCGCACAAGGGCGAGTAGATGAAAGAGTTGTCTGCACTGTCATGTTGTATATTATGGTTAGGTTATGTTACCTTGGAATCCTTTTTTTTTTCATTTCGTCTTGAGGCTTGACAAATGTAATTGCATCCACCAAGAACTTGACGTTTCCATGACTGCTTGTTTGTTCACAGGATTATGCAAAACTACAAAACCAATTTCCCAGAAACCGTTGCAAGGGTGTGTGTGGCTTGGAAAAAATAAGCCATGAGCCATTTTTTTTGTTCTTTCTTCCCCTTTAAAAAAAAAAAAAGTTTCAGTGAAGCCACGAAATTGTATCAGGTTGTGAACGTGACTGGTTATTACTGTGTACTCCGTAATTATCTGGTGACCTATCCAGGGTGTCCCCCCAACACTTTTCATCTAAAGTCAGCTCAGACAGGCTGACACCCCCCCCCCCCACACACACACACACACACTTTTCATCTAAAGTCAGCTCAGATAGGCTGATGCTCACCCGAGACCATAATGAAGAGAAGCACATTTGAAAGTGGAGGGATGGACCCACAAACTTGTCGTAATTTGGTGTTGCAGAGCAAGTGGGAGGACGCTGGCATATGAGTATGTTGCCGACGCGAGTTGTTAAAATAACAATTTAAGCAATCACGAGATCTCTCTCGTTTGTTAGCTTGCGCTTTTTAATCGCCACGGCGCACAGCAAAAACTTACGCTTGTGGCGAAAACTCTTCCTAAATGTCCGTGAACAACCCAGGCGAAACTCCCGAACATCCAAAGATCCTACAATATGAAGTTGTTTCACTCCATATACTTCTTTGACGCCGGTTACTAATTTCCTGTTCACCGGAGCTTTAGTGACATCTCGTGGTATCATCAAAAATACATGTCGAAATAGTTTTTGTTTTTGTTTTTGTTTTTTTTTTTTTGCTGTTGTTGTTTTTTTCCCCCCACTGAATGGCTGAGGTGAGGTTTCACAGAAAAATGACCAAAAAAGTGAATTTCTGAATAGTGAATTGCGAAGGCCCACGGGCTCTCTGTACAGTGGTCGATGGAGTTACAAGTGCTTCAACAGATTTTTCCTTTTATAAGCTGACACTTTTTCCCATTTTTTTTTTGGGTGGAGGAGACGAGTGTTGTGTTATAAGCAAAGTTATTGGAATTAAGATAAACAGACCCAATGTGTGCTTTTTAGGACCACCAAGAGAGCTCAGACGCTTTACGACGGCCGGCCAACCAGTCCTCCGGGCGTGTGTCACATTCCCATGGCTGAGCCTTTCTGCAACAGGACCCGAGGGGTGAGCACCCAAACGCATCCTATCATCACGAGTCTTCCATCCACGGCGAGAACTTCCAACCCTGCTTAGTGGACACATGTATACTGGCGGAGCGACAAATCTGTCAGTGCGCATGGTTCTCCTCAGAGACTGGAGCATCTTTTGTCCTTTCAGGGACAGCGGTTACTACAGTCGATAGCTTTTCATGTTATCAGGTTACAGGGTGCATGAAAGCCTAACCTATAAAACCTGAATATTTCTGTAAAATGTGACACTCTTCGTTGTAATGTCGATTAATGGATTCCTTCTCAGCGCGTCGACCTCACAGTGCAGAGGTGCAGGGTTCGATTCAGGCTCCAGCCTCCCTATGTGGAGTTTGCTTTTTCTCCCCGGCCCTGCGTGGGTTTTCTCCGGGTACTCTGGTTTCCTCCCACATGCATGGCAGGCTGATTGAACACTCTTAAATTGTCCCTCGGTGTGAGTGTGAGCATGGATGGTTGTTCGTCTGTGTGTGCCCTGCGATTGGCTGGCGACCTGTTCAGGGTGTCCCCAACCTACTGCCCGATGACAGTTAGGATAGGCTCCAGCACGCCCCGCGACCCTTGTGAAGATAAAGCAGATCGGAAAATGGATGAATGGATGGATGGATTCCTTCTCTTGTTTAAAAAAACCAAAACAAAAAAAATAACAGGGTAAAGGACCTTGAAAACAAAAATTCAATTTTGTTTTCAATTTTGAAGGGGGGGGGGGGGCTTGGCAATTGTATTATTTTTTTCCAAAACGGTTCAGCCCTCCTGCTTCCTCAACAGCTGCTCGTGGAGGTGGCCCGCACCCTCGGCGTCAAGTGCCACGCGAGGGGCACCATGCTGAGTATCGAGGGGCCCCGCTTCTCGTCGCGGGCAGAGAGCCTGATGTTCCGCCAGTGGGGCGCCGACGTCATCAACATGACCACAGTGCCCGAGGTGGTCCTGGCCAAGGAGGCGGGTTTGTGCTATGCCAGCATCGCCATGGCGACGGACTACGACTGCTGGAAGGAACACGAAGAGGCGGTGAGTCGATGTTTTATTTATTTATTTATTTATTTATTTATTTATTTTCATGGGCATGAGAAGCGTACTGTTGGTTGACTTTGCCGCCCCAGCACTCACAGTTCTTTCTTTCACTTTTTGTAACAAGATGTCTTACGCATCCTGTCAATTTTAGTTGTAGGCAGTTGCAAGTTGAAGAAATGACTCAAACTGCCCGACTGATGGCCACTTTTACTTCTGCCTTGTGTTTTTGTTCCAAGAATATAATCATAATCTCAGAAAATGTTGGAAAATATTTTTCAACAAATGTATTTTGGAGCCAAATAGTGATCGTACATCAAGGGGGAAAAAAAGTCAAAATATTACAAAGAAAACTGACAAGTAAATTGTATTCATTCGTGATTAGTTATTTTTTGGGGGGGGGAAATGAAAAGCCGAACTTATATTTTCGCACTTAAAAAGTTAGTCGCCCAGGAAAAAGTCAATCGAGCATCAAATAGCTGCAGCTCCTTCACAATGCTGCGGCTCAGGTTTTCACCAGAATAACGAGTGATAACTCCAGTTCTGAAGGCTCTCAACTGAAATTTCTGCTGGCGGGCTAAAAATCACCGAAAGGTTTAGGTCCTGAACACATCAAAGAGAATATCAATCCCGAAGGCCTCTGAGGTGTGCAGAATCGGGCTCAGTTAGTGATGCTGAGCGTTCAAAGCAAACATGGTGACGCAGCATTTAGCCGTGATGCTGCACGCAGATGGACAACCGAAGTGAAGTCCATCCCAAGTGTGAATATTTTTAAATGCAGCTTATGATCTCTGCTTCCCCCCCCCCCATCCTGTTCTTATGATTGAGCTATTTTAAAAATCACATTAAAAAAATTCCTTCTATCTTGCACTGGAAGTTATTTTTGTAGTTTCAGTAAGATGGCTTTTAGTTCTGTACTTTTTTTTTTTTTTTTTTTTGTGTCTTTAGTTCTTGGTTTTTAAATGCCTGAGGCAATTCTGAACTTTTTTGGGGCGGAAGGTGCAAACCTTTCACGGCTTTTCGCTATTTGCGGCAGGGCTCCTCAGCGACGACCGTGGGAAACCCTGTTTCCATCTATCGCCGGGACCTCAATTCACCCTTGTTTGTGTCACACAGTCAATGGCTTGGCTTCGTGCTATTTGCAAGACAGTGAAGCTCATGAGTCATTGTGAGTCAACCTCCTCTGGCAGGGCTTACACCGGAGGCTGGCAGTTGAGCAGCAGACCAGGAAGGGGGGGAGGGGGTTGCCGGAGGATAGTGGGTGTGTGTCAGGAGGTAGTTGTGAATCCGGGGGTGGGCGGAAGGATGTGGCGGGCGCTCTGTAACAGGACAGGAACAAGAGGTCAGCGGCAGGAACTTCGGAAGCGGAGTGTGGTTGGATCGATGAAGGTCGCCCCGCGTGTGGCGCATCCGCTGCGTTATCCCGGACCCTGCCGCTCACTCGGAAGCCAGCCTTTGCACTGCGCGCCTCCTTGACAATCATCACACTGATAAAACGAATCACTCTCACTCCGCTTCTGCTCTCTCGCCACAGGAAGTTCAACAAAACAAAACTCAAACAACACAGCGGACCGAACTTGACTCATTTGTCACCTGTCAAATTTGGGCATTGATTTTGTGAATATGATCTCATCTCCCAAAACCGGTTCTTCAGTCACCTGTCGTAGGGAATGACATAATACCTGTATATCCGACTTTCAAAAGTCGTGTGACATTGGTCCCTCCCCCGCCCTTCGCAGGTTTGCGTGGACAACGTGATGAAGACCATGAAGGAGAACGCCAACAAAGCCAGCAGCATCCTGCTGACCGTCATCCCTCAGATCAGCCAGATGGACTGGAGCCAGACCACAACTTCCTTGAAAGTAAGTCACTGGGGCGGCAGTGCTTGTGTTTAGCCACTGGAGGCTTGATTAAGATCAGTTAGGGTTGCAACAATCAATCAAATAGCTTGAACAACTCCATTACAAAAAAAAAAAAAAAAAAAAAAAAAAGGGCGTGGGGGGCTGAGTCTACACTACATGTGTCAAACTCAAGGCCCAGGGGCCAGATCCGGTCCCACCAGGTCATTTTATGTGGCCCGCGAAAGCAAATCATGTGTGTCAACTTGCTAAAATCTGGAGCGAAATGTCACATGGCCTCCATGTAATAAATAACATTGAGACTTTGAAATAATTTTGTTCCACTCACTTGAACAATAATTGAAATAAAGAATTAAACAGTAATTGACTTGACTGATTTCAAAACTAGTCATCTATTCATGTGTTGTGTACACGTAACCGTTTTGTGGTTTCACTGTCATAACGTAACTCCAAATTGGCCCGCGACTCAAATGAGATTGACACCCGTGGTCTACACTCTGCCTAGAAACTTTGCAGGGATCATTTTTTTGCGGCACGGTACACCTCTCCCTAGTGCTGAGAAATTGATCTTAAGTTTAATTGTGATTTTTTTTTCTTCTTCTTCTCACATTGATAAAAACATGACAATCAAAGAAATGCAATCAATGCACCGAACGGTGCTGTGTGACAAATGTTATTTTGCCCTCCCGGAGTGCGTCGGTGTTGTTCAATGGCGCCACAGTTGCAGGCGAATCCAAAGCTAATAAACCCGCAACAAAAAGCACTACACACATTGTGTTTTTTAACCCTTTCCGGGACAGCGTTTACGACAGTGTGCAGCTTATCGTGTTATCAAGTTATTGTTATTGGTGCGTGAAAGGTTTAAATACAAGACAGATTTTGTTTTAGCAACATCGCCACTGTGCTCATACTAACGTCGATGCAAAATCCAAATGCCAGCAAAACTACGCATAATTATGTTTGTCAAGGCCCACTTTTTGCATTCAATCGAATGATCTCGCACAAGTGTAGCGAGCGAGTGGACGCTTGCTGCAGAATGATGTTCTGCAGCATGATAAATAATTCACTTTGAATTTTTATCCTTTGAGTTTCCGTCACGGTGAAAATTTTTGTTTTGTTTTGTTTTTGAACAATGTCTTTATACATATGCTTTCGCCATCATGGAAATGCACACATGATGATGATGATGATTAAATATATATTTGTTTGCTCTGCTGCAGGCGATGGCCCAGTCGGCAATAATGTTGCCCAAACATTGACGCCCCATAAAAGCAAAGGAACATCGGCTCAGCTGTGGGTTTGTCGCCAGTGACTGAAAAAAAATAAAACCAAGCCCATGTCATCTTCAGCAATTTGAATTGAGCTCCTGGAGCAATTTGTGGTTTCATATCTCCACAAGTCAGGTCTTGTCACACTCCCAAATACCAATTGGACATTTTCACTCGCTGTTATTTTAGTGGACTTCAAATTAGATATTTAGTCGTAGATATTTCATGTTTTTATATGGGTTTGTGTTTAATGGATTAATTGAGTGTTTTTTTTTTGTTTGTTTGTTTGTTTTGTTGACAGAGCCTTCCTCTTTTCTGGAATTGTATCCCTACTAACATCTGTCATTTTGCTTCCATCCATTCATCCTGGCCAGTTTCCCTTTACATAAAAAAAAAAAAAAACCACACATTCTGTTCACCAAAGCACACCGTATCAAGAATACATGCGTTGTGGGCGGCATGACTCAGTGGTCGAGTGGTCATTTCCCTAACTCGGGAGATGGTGATTCGATCCCCGGCCATTGCGACCATGTCGAAGTGTCCTTGAGCAAGAAACTGAACCCCCCAGTTGCTCCTAATGCTGCGTCATCAGTAGGTAAATGAGGTAAAAGTGTTAAGTGCTTTGAGTAGCCAAAGTAGAAAAGAACTTTGTAAGTGACAGCTCATTTGCATATGCAATAACAGCATACTGTACCTGTATAGCCTACATTAAAGTCATCTCAATAAGTAATTCCTCAAACAAGTATTTTTTTTTTAAGTCGGCCTATTTCAACCAATGCCCACTGTCTATTTTACAATTTTTTTGAGGGGTGTTACTTTCAATTTGATGTTGTTTTTTTTTTGTCATATGACAGTAAATCACAAGACTACATTTGAATCTAATGCTGTGATTCACTTTCAGTTGTCTTTCCTGCTTTGTCATGAGTGTATCAGCAAATCAAACTGCATATTCACTCACATGCTCAAAAGCAAGTCATTAAATGGTAATGTTGAACAGGCTTGGAAATTCATTTTTATTTCTTTACATGCTGATTCAATACACTGTATACACACACACACACACACACACACACACACACACACACGTGCGATTGAAAAGCCCTAAAAGCCACTTTGTGAGCTATAAAAGATGAAATAGTCCAAATGAAAATCAAAAGGTGTTCGGAAAGGTGGTATAATTTGTGCAATACGTGCTGTTTTTTTCCCTTCCATATTAACGCCCCAGAATGCCACAATTTTTTTCTTTGTTGAGCACGAACCTGACTTTCATGAAAAACTGTCTTCTCATTTTAAATGGCAAACAAAGCAATGTGACAGAAATTTCATGGTTGACACCGTGTGTTAAAGTGCATCATCTTCATTGCAATTTTAGACCATATGAGTGAAATAAGTCAATTTGATTATTTCAGTGATTCAAGTATGGTCCAAATAAGGTTCATAAATAAGTATAGTAAAATGGTAGTAAAATTCCCATGACAATACCAACCTCGTTCCTCACCAATATCCAGATTTCTTTGCCAAAAAGTCGAGTCCTTTAATAAATAAATAAAACGTCGGGACATTCAGTCCCTTAAAAAAAAAAAAAAAAGTCCTTCACAGAGACTCCAGGAAGGCCACGACTTCTGCGTGGCCGTGTTTGCGGGCCACATCCACGGGCCGCCAGTTGGCGCGGTCCCTGGCCTGCAGATTGGCGCCGAAGCGGACCAGAATCCGCACGGTGTCTACGAAGCCGCTCCGGGCCGCGTCGTGCAGCGGCGTGCTCCCGGTGCGCGCGTCGGCTACGTTCGGGTCGCCGCCCCCAGCCAGCAGCAGCTCGGCCACCGGCGTGCTGCCCATCATCATCACCTTTGCAAGTGAAAAAGAAAAATGTGTGCTTTACAAACTGGACCTTTTCATTCCAAAACCTGTATATGAGATTTAAGTGTGTACGTTGTGTCGTTTAAATGAAATACTCAACATGCAAGCACGTCAAGAATTTTCCTTTCACCCCCCACCCAAAAAAAAAAAAAAAATTGAGGGTTCGTTTTTACGTCAGCTTATGAAAATTGTCTTCATGAAGAAAATGTCATGAATTTGTCATGTCATAAGTGTGTGTACTGTAAATTTATTTTTAATGAGAAACTGACTACGTTGTTTTTGTTTTTATTTTATACAGGAAATATATTTTTTTCTTTGTTTTGTACGGGAGATAGTAAGCTTTATATAAGCCATCAATGTATTTTTTTTAAATTCTCGTGTCTCTTTCATAATTGATTTATTTTTGTAAAAAACGCACAGGTTGAAGGAAAAGGTGTACGGGTTTACCCCCCCTCCCCGTCTGCCCTTACCTGGAGCGCGGTGTAACTCAGCCGGTTGGGCGCGTTCACGTCCGCCCCTGCCCGGAGGAGTCGCGCCACCTCGGCTGTGTTCCCCGTGGCAGCCGCCGAGGTCAACTCATCCTCCAAAGTGCCCATCGTCGTCGGGGCGGTCCCCTGCGCTGCCCGCTCACCTTGGTTGACAGGTAATCCGCGATAGTGGACGAACTGTTTTGACAATCCGCGCGTGTTGTGGTTGTTTGTGTTCTAACTCTCCTCTCGATACCGGTATATAAGTTTGAGCAGCTGTCAGTGTGAGGCGACATAAATACAGTAATGTGTCCGGGCTTGTCTTTCAGTGCTTTAAATGGGTGATGTCATCGCTCTGTTTGCCGCTGTGGTGCGCATGCGCATTCGCTTTGTTTTGTTTCCGCCCTGACAGCCGCGTGACAGTCAAACTTGCGGAGATGAAATGCCACCAAGTCAGTACGTCTCTGTATGCTTTCGATTTCGATTGTAAATAAAAGCAGCTGTACGAATGCGATAGCAATAAACAGTTAATGGCATGTGATAAGCGGTTTCAGTCGTGTCACGCCAGTTGTGTTGCAACAGCAGTCCGTCCGCTTAAATCGACCCAGTTGGAGAATTCAGGCGACTCGTGTGAACATATGCAAATAACAAAAATAGAAACGTTTAGGAGAGATGAAAGGAATCTGAACATCAAACAAAGGATTCATATGTTCCATGTTTATACTCGCCAAAATGGAGTCTCACTCGGTGTCTTTTTTTACATGCACTTTTCCACCCATCCATTTTTTTATTTGTATTTTGTTTAAAAAACAAACCAAGAAAAAACGAAAAAACTGCAGGTGACCACTTCAGCGGGAAAACTGCGACACTATATATATATATATATATATATATATATTCTTTTACATGATCAAACACATGAGCCGTTTTTGATCATTACCTGCAGCCTGAGGAACTGTGAAATAATCGAAATAATTTTCAGTCCACAGTACGTGACAAAATGGCCGCCAAAATGCTCCAATCACACAAATGCAGTATTAATCATAATGTTGTGTGTAGACTAGTGCGACCGCATGGAACATATTCTTGTAAAAAAAAAACAACAAAACACTTTTGACTTGACTTACCCTTTAAAACCCTTGATTATTGTTCCATGGCTAAAATCAGCGACACTTGTCATTTCACAAAACAAATTCCTTACACAGTATCTCTGCTGGAGGATGTATAAAGTAAGTCGGTTGTAAAGACTTTTTACAACTCTGCAAAGTCATAGTCAGCGACACTTGTCATTTCACAAAACAAATTCCTTACACGGTATCTGAATCTCCACTGGAGGATGTATAAAGTCAGTCGGTTGTAAAGACTTTTTACAACTCTGCACAGTCATAATGCAACCATCACTTATCACAA